AAAAATGCTCATGTAAGGGGACTGGTATTTACAGGGAACAGCCCTGCCTCGACCCAAAGCCTGAAAGGATAAACTGGGGGTGGGGGGACACAGAAAGGGGCATGCAGGGCAGCAGAACCATCCCAGGTAAGGCCACCCGCTGCCCACCCAGGTCTGGGGGATCCCGGGAAGCTGCGAAGGGGAGCCTGGGCTAGGTAGGTGGCAGAAGGCAACGTGAGCCTCAAAAGTCACAGCCTCAGAGAGGCTCCTGGCCCCAGGCTCTCTCTGGCCACAGAACCTCCTGACCTGGTATTACCCGTCCAAAGTGCTTCAGAAAGACGGATGTGCTCTCCCTGCTGTTACCTACAGGACAGGGAAGTGGGGACTCTGGCCCCAAACACCTGGCAGGCAGGAGCCTCAGGATCTTGGGCAGATCCCTCACCAACACTCAACCCTGTTTTCTTTCTTTGGACAACAGGACACTCCCACCCTTGTCCGTAGGGCGCTGGGAAGGTCAGCTGAGAGTATGAACTTGGATCTGCTGGGTACACATTAGGTTTTTTCGGGGTTCCTCTGAGCAGCCCGCATCACCATCATCACGATCACATGACAGGCAGTGATTCGGCAAAGGCTCCTGGGCCCCACCCCAAGCTCCCAGGACATATGATCCCGCCATCTGTGACTTTCTTCTGTACCAACACAAGGATTCTCGTCTTGCTAAGTGCAAGCCATGAGTCGCTCCTCTAGTGTGTGAGTAAAGGACCCGGGGTGTGCAGTAGTGCGTCATCACCCTCACCTGCACACTGAAGGAGGTTCTTAACTGCTCTGCTCTTCCCCTTCAGTCCAGAGTGAACTCTTCATGAAGATCTGCTTAAAACGCCTCAAGGGCCAAAGGCTTCTTAGGATAAAGGTCATCTTCCTAATCGTGCCCTATGAGTCCCTCACGGCCTGGCCCAGCTGAGTCCTCCAGCCTGGGCTCTCGCCGGCTCTGTCCTGCAGCCACTTCCACATGGACAATGCTACCTCCCTACCTCAGGGCCTTTGCCCATGCTGTTCCCTCCACCTGGGCCTCCCTCCCTAATGAACCCCAAGTACCTTTCAGACAGCCACTGAAACATCACTGCCGTGAGGTTTCCCTTGACCTCTAGAAGAATCCCCTGTGTTTTCCCCTCACAGACCTCATATCAACCGATAAGTACAAATTTAATTGGATGTTTGATTTAATCGCTGAAAATGAAGACTCTGCGACAGGAGGAGCTATATGCCTCTCGTTCACCACTGGCCCCCCCAGGTGCCTAGCACAACGAACAGCATAAATATTTGTACGTAATGAGTGAGTAAATGGATGAATGAATGAATGACTGAACAAACAGCCCAGGGAATGAAAAGTGAAAAGGGAAGTAAAGCAAAGAGCAGGTGGAGAGACGCAGATTCTACTACCCACACTCTAGGAGCTACAGAGGAAGGTGGAAGACAAGAACGTGGGGAGGGAACTGAGTCATACATGAGGGCTGCCTGGGGTCCTGGGGGTTGGTGACCAGGTGGCCATGATGGAGTACTTGCTGACAATGGAGTACCACAGACGCTATTTCATCTTGCCTCACACAGTGCCTGGGCGGGGGTGGGGGGTGGGGGTACTAGCCCATTGTTGCAGATGACAAAACTGAGACCCAAGGGGATGAAGGACCTGCCTGGGATCCCACAGCTGGGAGGGGGTGGGGTCAGGGCTGTGACTGCTCATTGCCACACACCATTGTCTAGACTCTAGTCTAGTTCTAGACTCAAGGGGGAAAGTCTCTTATGCCAGGCATCCCTGCAAGAAAGTGAAACAAATTTATAAGCATCTCCCTGAAACTGCTGGAGCAGAGATGCTTATGCTTTTAGCAGGTAAGGATGGTAAGAAGGAATGAACGGGACTGTCCAGGCCATCAGCTGAGAGCTTAGCCCAGCCAAGTCCAATGCCAAGCGTCTCACCTGCATCAGTCCATTTAATCCTCGGAACAGCCCTAGCAAGCAGGCACTATCATTAGGACCATTTTACAGATGAGGAAATTGAAGCTGAAAGAAGTTCCTGTTATTCCTAATCTAAGATGCTTAACACAGCAGATATTCTCTTCAGTGTATTATTCTAGTGAACTTCAACATACATCAACATGTTCCTCAGGTCCACTAGTGGCCTTGGGAGCCCAATGTTATGTTCCAAAATGCTTTTAAATTCCCCACCTGTGAAATTCCTGCTGTGGGGTTTTCAGGGGCCCCAACCCTTGGCTACAATTCCCACGGCAGCCCGTCTGTCTACAATGCGCTTTAGGCATTTCATATGCATGGATTCAGCCTCAGGTTGGCATCCACGGTCTGACAGTCTTGTCTTCAGTCTCCTTGAGGGTGTGAATAAGGACCAGTCACCCCATCAGGGAGAACACTCCCCCACTGTCTTGGGAAACATACTGACGCAAGCCAAGGGGCTTTTAGTTCCCCTTTGTCCATGCCCCAGGGAGTTTTTACATTCACTTGATCCCCTTCTCCTTCCTAAGCACCGTCCCTGCTCACGAACCTGCTATGGCTCCCCACTGCCTGATGCGGCACATGCAGACCCCAGGCCAGGCTCCTCTGGGTGGTCTACAAACCAGGCCTACCTCACCTGCCCGTTGTATCCCCTGCCCTTTCCCACATGGCTATCCCTTCCTCCCAATCTCATCAGGCTGCAGAACCCCTCGGGTAGAATGCCATCCCTTCCCCTGATCCCAACCCGACTCCTCTCGAGTGTCCCTCCTCCAGGAAGCCGCCCCCCCCCCACACACACACTCCCTGTTTGCGCACATCCTGCCTTTTGTCTTCTTTTCTACTCAGGTGCCGTTGCCTACGTGGCATTGACTCTTCTCCGACCTGTATGAACTGACCTCACCTTTCTAAGAGGATTCTTTGCTTCCTGAGAGGGAGACTCAAGTCCACCCGCCTGGACTTGGCATTCCAGCCTCGCCACGGCTTCTCCAGCCTGGCTGCTAACCCAGCCTCACTCTCAGCTCAGCTTCTCACTGAGAAGACATGCTGCCCACCCCCTGGGGACACGGGGACAGGGGAGGGGGGAGGGGGGTCACTGATAAGGCACCTGTCTTTTCTCTGGCCTCAAGTGCTGTCAAGTTCCCTCCTGCCAACAGGCCACGAACTAAGTCGCCGGCCCACTGTCCTTTTTGTAAATTGAAAAGGATATGACTTGCAATTTAATAAGTGACATTTGATTAGTTGAAGGTCAACATTTCTAAAACATCAAGTCCATGTGGAAAATGTGAATCAAAGAGGCCTCTTGGCAGAAAGACTGGACACCAAAAGAGCCAGCGGCTGCTGGCCCGGTCCCCGCTGGGCTGCACCCAGGCCCATCTCCGCAGCGCAGATTTGCAGGCTGCCCACGGCACAAACAGAACCCAGCTCCCCACTCAAACTTGTCCCCACTGTGCTGAGGGTCAAGGGCACACTCTTCACGGTGCCCCCGATGCCTTCTCCAGCCAGTTCGCCAAGTGCTGACAGTTCACTCCTGCCTCTGCCTTTGGATGGGCCTGGACCCCTTGCCCTGGCACCTGCCCAGCTCTGCTCATCACGAGGCCTTGAGGTGGCACTAGGGGAGGTCCTCTCAGAACTCCGCACCACGGTAGATCAGAATATCCCCAAGATCCCTGGACATTCTCGCTCAGATGACTCTTGATTTAACTGTCTTCCCTATTGGAATGGAAGCTCCTTGAGAGCGGGTACCATGTCCGTGGGGTTCAGCTCCACACACTAGCACCAGCACAGCGCATGGCACACAGTAGGTGCTCAACGGATAAGTTACATGAATGAATGAGCAAATGAGCAAGGAGGGTGCTGGATGGACTGAGACCATCTCAGCAGACACACTTCAGGGAGAACTTCTGGCGCGGCCAAGACACCAGTGGAGGCGTGAGGGGGAACGGAAGAGGCCGTGTTGCCTGGATCAAGCCCAGGAGTGGGAGGCAGGTGGGTGTGCTTCCTCTCTCACCCCCGCGGCCCTCCTGGAAGGTAGCGTGACCATCCCTACCCGGAGGTGTTTCCTGGTGTTCTGAGAAAGGCCACGCGGGGGAGGTGGTGGTGGGGTGCGGTGGCCTCTAACACCCCACCCCACTGCTGCCCCCACCCGAGGCAGCCACCTCCACACCTGCCCCGCCCCTGTGGGAGTTCCAAAGTCCAGCCTGCCCCCTCAGTCACTTCACCTCTAAAATGGGGGCAGAGCAACCCTGATCCCAGCATCCTAAGACTCCTACCTCAAAGGAGGTGAGAAGACACGGCTGTAAATTACTCACAGGTGTCTTTTTTGTTTCTTAAATTGCTTTTGTAACAAATCCCATGTGGAACAATAGCAACAAATCAATACTCCCCAAATCCTGAGAATGTTACACTGACCGACCAACCTACCGCCTATGGCATTTTCACAACCATCCTCTGAGGTGGGCACTACTTACCCTCCCCATCTCACAGCTGAGGAAGGGAAGCCCACGGAAGTACATGATTTGGCTGACTGAGCTAACAGCAGGGCCAGAGCACAAAACTGGAGTCCCTACTTGGGTTCCCCCCTCTCCTGATCATTACAACTCCCCAGAGAGGTTGCTTAAAAATACAGAGGCCGGGGTTTCCCCGGTGGCACAGTGGTTAAGAATCTGCCTGCCAGTGCAGGGGACAGGGGTTCGAGTCCTGGCCCGGGAAGATCCCACATGCCGCGGAGCAACTAAGCCCATGTACCACAACTACTGAAGAGCCCGCGAGCCACAAGTACTGAGCCCGTGAGCCACAACTACCGAGCCCGCGAGCCACAACTACCGAAGCCTACGTGCCCAGAGCCCGTGCTCCGCAACAACAGAAGCCACGCAATGAGAAGCCCGTGCACCGCACCAAACAGTAGCCCCCGCTCGCCGCAGCCAGAGAAAGCTGCGTACAGCAACAAAGAACCAAAGCAGCCAAAAATAAATAAATTAAATAAATAAACTTATTTTTAAAAAAATACAGAGGCCGGGGCCCTGATTCCCCATATCACGATCTCTCGGTGGGGCCGTGGAAATCATCTGGACAAGCGAATTGCCCCCAGCCAGCTGGGCAGACTGTGACTCCCTGGGCCTCAATTTTCCCATCTGTGAAAGGGGTGACTCCTCCCCCAAAGAGCTGCTGTGGGTGATCAAGGGAGGGAAATGCTGGGTACGTGTGCTAAAAACAGCCAAGAGGTATCAAGCAGAAGGTCCCACTGAGGAAGACGCTCTACTTTGGGTAGCCTGACCAGCCCTTCCACTTCCGGAGCCCTTGGGGCTAGAAAGGGACTCTAAGGCCAGCATGCACTGCCGTGGCGGCTGTAGCTGTGACTCTTCTAGCCGCTTCCACCTGGGTTGTAGCAGACTCAGGAGTGGCTCACACGTCATGGAGACAGCTGGGCCCAGGGCACATTCCTACCCATTGTGTCTTCTGTGCAATATCTTTCAGGCAACAACAGCACATGGCCAACCAGTTCAGCCTGTGGGAGGGTGGACATCACGTCCGCATCCCACATCTCCACGCTAGGGAGTGACACCAGCTGACAAACAGGTGGTTCTCCCCAGGGGTCCGCACCCTTGGTCAAGTCCACGTGCCCTCTCTCCTCCGGGCTGTTACCAACAGCATGCTCAGGCAGTTGTAACACCACCACCCTGTGGCAGGGTCAGAGGCCCAAGCGGTGGCCTGTATCAAGGTTCAAGCACAGAAATACCTGTGCCAACTAAATACTCATCACAGCCACGCGTACTGGTCGCTTACCACGGTGGGTGCCGTGCTGAGCCACGTAGCCGAGTTATCTCTTTGAAGTTCTACTGTCCCCCAGGAGGAGGGTACCGTCACCATCCCCGCTGATGATGTGGGTAAAGTGCTAGCAAACCAACTCTGCAAGTAGTAGGGCTGCGGTTCAACTCCAGGGAGACTGCTCATTCACTGTTCAACACGTTTTTCAGTGTGCCCGTCACTGTCCTAGGCCCCGGGGACCCAACCGTGACAAAGGCGGAGCAAGGCACTGATAGCCTGGTGGGAGACTCAGAGGTCAAGCTCTCAACCCTGGTCTCCACTGTCTCCCAAAGGCCACTGGCTCTTTCCAAAGGGAGACCTCCCTGACTGGCTCCCTGGGGTCCACTGTTGGCATGAGGCCTGTAGGAGGTGGACTGGGTTAGATGACACTGGTCTGCAGGAAGCAGGTCCTGCCAGCTGACCCACCCACACGTGGCACCTGGGCAGGCTGCGCCAGTGTTCTGAAAGATTAAAAGCCATTTCTGAGTCACTATTCCTTCCTTGTGGGGTGGTCTCAAGAGAATCTTCAATCATTAGGCTCAAAGTGGAGGCATGAGAAATGCAATACTGCCCCCTCCCCTCGACGAGAACAATACACCCGATTCTGATTCTCTGCCAGTTTCCTTTTGGCCAGTGAAGCCTGGGAGCCCCATGCTTCTAGAGGCACTGGAAATCCAGATTTTTATGGGAAATCTCCGAATTGGAAATGCTGGCATTTAACTTTAAATTTATTTTTAGATGTGAGGACCAAATCATCACATCTGTGATTGGGCAGAATGTGACCCCCAATGCCGCCAGTTTAAACTCTCTGTTTTAGATCAAGTAGGACAGGAAGTTTCATAAATGGGGGAAGGAAGTAGAGGCGTCGTGTCACTGAATTAGGACCTACGGTGAGCCAGTAGCTGTGGGAGGTGCTCTCGACTCCAAGAAGTAATCCTGTGAGGTCAGGGTTTATGTCCCCATGAGGTAGGCTCAGAGAGGTGAAGTGAGCTGCCCAAGGACACACAGTGAGGGGGGGCAGAAGCACCAGGATTGGGACCCAGATGTGCCAGGCTTCAAAGCCCGGCTATCCCAGGTCTGCCTGGGACCTCACAACAATGGCTGTAGAACAAGCTAAGTCCCGGGCAGCTGACTCTTCATGTTCCAGTGAGTGTGAGGCAGGCAGAGGTCCAAGTTGGGTGACACGTCTGTGTGGCCCCACCGTGAGGGGTCTGACCCGGGGAGGGACGGGTGGGGACGGGGCAGGGAGGAGGCGGGTGAGTGAACCCTCTCATTCCTCCTTTGACTCAGGGTTAACTCAGCTCTGACAAACCACCTGGCTTTGAGAGCGCCCCAGTTTCGAAGCTCGGCCAACCAAAGCCGAGTCGGGGAAAACTGGGCAGGACAGAGAGTGGAACCGGCCCTGCCACCTGGCCTGCAGGGTGAATCTGGGCGGGGCTCCCAGCTCCAAAGGGCAGGGGCTGGCTCCACCCATCTCCATGCCCTCCCAGCTCCCGTGTTTACAGAGTCTGATCGGCCCGGAACCTGAACACATACCAGCCTTCTCATCTGTAAAATGGGGTAAGTAAAAGCCCTCGCTTCCTGGGTTTGTTGTGACAACGGAATAAAATGATAGATTTACAGTGCGTAGCACTGTGCCTGATGCCCGGGAGATGCTCAGTAAGTGTTTACTTCTATCACCACCCTCTCCAACTGTCCAGCGTCTGTGGCTTCTCACGTCCCTCCTTCCAGAAACATCTGACTGCAGAGAATGGGTCAGGGCTAGTTCTCTGTACCAAGAACAGAGGGCTCAAAACCCACAGCCATGTCACCAGGAACAATCTGAGGACCTAACATTCACCAGGAGGCAAACACTTCCGCGGGAAACTAGAAAAAGTCTGAGATCCAAGTGCAGAAAAGCTGCGCTCCTGTGGCCCCTCTGAACTTCAGTGTTCTCATCTGCAGAGAAAACGATCATCCCCAGACCACACTCATCTTCCAAGAGCTTTCTAAACTCTTAAGCCCTATGTGACGCTTTTATGATAATCATTATTAAGTTAATTAAGATTTGTGGCACCCAACCCCAGAGCTACACTTCAGTCATAATGGGGAACCCCTCTTCAGGGTTTCCCAGCTTACCTGTTCCTAAGAATCACTGAGGACGCTTTGAAAGATGCAGACTCCCAGGCCCATCTGGACCGGACTTGAGGGTGGGGGGCAGGACAGGACCCAGGTGATTAGGGAAACCTGCCAGTTCTAGAAAGAACAGGATTACTCAACTGAAACTGAAAACTGGGGACCTTGAATCTCCACAGTCAGGTGATCTAACAGAAAAGTATCATTTTCTGGGGGTTGGACAGTCTTGACTTCAGGGGCTGGCTGTTACTTTGATGGCTGTGTGACTCTGGGCCAAGCCCTCAACCTCTCTGAGCCTGTTTTCTCAAAATGGGAACAATTAGGCCTAGGCCCCTGGCTGGGGTGAGTGTGGAATATCAGGTGTCTGCTCCCTCCCAGCTTCCCCACCTCAGATTCTGGGGGCTAAAGTGCCATTTCCAGCAAGCGGAGCTAGCAGGGGTGAGGGGAGCCTGGTAGCCTCCCATCAGGACAGGCAGCTGGCCACCCATTCCCACTTTGGGCAGGGCCAGATTTCCCAATTCCTCAGGACACATTCGGTAGGGAACATTTCCCATTCCCACTGTTAGAGAAATAAATCTTTTCTGATGCACTTATACTCTTAGAAGAAAACTAGAAACATTTTTTCCAAACACAAAGAGATATGGCAACAAAGCATCCAATCCCAGCAGATCTGGACCACTCTGCCAGGTCTCCGGGGTCTCATCTTGTCTGAGTTCTGAGCTGTGGGAGGTGTGAGGTTGGTGGAGCACGGGCGCCACAGTCCACAGATTTAGATCTGATTCTCTCTTTCCTTCATTTAATAAATATTTTCTGAGCACCCGCTGTGTGCAGAACCTGGGCTCAGTACCAGGATCCAGGGATGAGCAGAGATTTGGTCCCTGCTCTCAAGAGCTTAGACTCCATCGAGACAGACAGATATCAGGTGACAAACGGCACACACAGATCACTGCAATTGTGCTAAGTGATCTGAAGGACACGTCCAGGTGCGATAAAAAGATACACACAGGGAAGGGATGGGGGGGTGACCCAAATTAGATAACGTACGCTGTCTGGGAAGATCTTTTTGGAGGAAGGGCACTAGTTGGCCAAGCTAATCCAGCGAGCTCCTTCTCCGCAAACTCGTTATCACCTGTCTCCTCTTCCTTCCTCCTCGGCACTCACCAATCTGGACACTAACCATCTGTGCAATTATTTGTTCACTGTCATCCTGCCCACCTTCCCTACTACCCTGGAAATGCTACGACAGTAAAGACAATGTCAGTCTTGTTGTCCCTGGAATCCTCCCCAGTTAACCTTTGAGTGAGTGCATGAACGGATGAATGAAGGAACCCTGCTTCCCTGGGCCTTGATCTCTTCATCCCCACAAATGGGGGTAACAATACCTTTGGCCATGTTGCTGGGAGATCCGGGGCACACTGCCTGTATTCAGTGAGTGGGGCTTGGCACTGGCATAACTTGGAATGAGTGGGACATTGTGGGAAGGGATTTAGGAGCGGGAGAGGAAGCCGGACTCCTCTACCCTGTGAGCAAACCGCTCGTGGAGTCCACCTGAGTCAGGACTGCAAAACAACTTCAGAAAGACGGGCCAGGACATACGGGGAGCCCTCCCCTTAACAGCAGGCAGGTAAGTAGTTCCCCAGGGAGAGCATCCACTGGTGCAGTCCCCACACAAATCTTGGGTCACCCACTGGGCCAGTGAGTGGGTGACAAGTACCCAAGCATGCCCAGGGTCAGCTTCTGATTTCCTGGCTCCTTGAAGCAGGCCTGGGAGACAGGCATTCCTGTGCCAGCACAGTCACGTGTACCAGGCAGGTGATGGGTGAGAGGGGCAGAGAGATGAGAGAGCAGCATGAATACACATGACCCCTGCCCACGTGGTCTAACCTACGGCGGTAAGCCTTCCCCGACCAAAGATGGCAGCCAGGGACAGTGGAAAGGCCATGAGTCCTGCAGGGGAGACAGGGGTCATGCCCTGCTATGGGCCTCAGTTTCCCATTCCCATTGGTTAAGTGACACCATTAATTCCCCTCATAGATCAAGGTGGAAACTATAAAGTCCTGAGTGCTACGAGGTGATAGGTGATTTCATCTACCTCTCTCTGCACCAAGTTTTGGATTTGCCTGTGCACAAATTGTGTGCTGACTGTCCCCTAAGCCAGCATTTCCCAAAGTGCAGCACCTATGCCACCGGTGTGACCTGGGTGATTTCAGGCCATGTGGGGACCTGGTGGTTAAATGGCTTCAGACTTCACAGTGAGAAGGCCATTCCCTGTTCAGCTCTCATTTGAGTGTTCCGAGAACCTCAAAGAGAACGTCTTGAGGTGGTGCTATCCGGCTGTCATCCTCTCGTTCCTCTAGCACTTGCTAACATCCCTTTTTTAACAGATCCAGCTACTGTAGCACACACCAGCTAGCTAGGACGGAACAGGCTTGCAATTATTTGTATCTATTTGTGGCAGGTGATACTGCTTTTCCATTTTCAAAGATGTTATAAAGTTACCTTTTATAAACGTGTTAAATTCAAAAACTGAGTAGTTTCCATAAAAGTTATTGAGTAAATAACACATGTTGTTTAAGAACACACCCCCAAATTAGGGAGATGGTACCAGAATGGTGGGAGATTGACTACACTGACTGCAGTTACCACCTCTGCCAGTGACACATGTATCAAGGCCCGTCCTTTCTTCTTCCTCCTGGGTCCACGGCCCGATCAGATCTCCTGATCCTCTCTGGAGTTGGGTGAGGCCAGTTCCCAGGGCCAAGGCAGAAGGGATAGCACCACATCCAGACCCTCCACGGCCTCCCTTTCTCTCCCCGCACTGCCAGGCCTCAGAAAGAATCCAACATCCTCTTGAGGAAGAACCACAAGACGGAGGGCAGGGTACCTGCGAGAGGCATAGCATCCCCACCACGTTGGGAATGGACTTCCGTTGCATTAAATCCCTGAGATTTTCAGGTTGTTTATAGGAATTAGCTGATTTAGGCTAATACAAAGGGGCCATCTCTAGTACAGCTTCTATATACCAGCCTGACGTCCTGGTGCTTTTCTCTGTAAAGAATAATAACTGAGCACCTAACAGATGCCAGGCATAATCTGAAGGGCTTTACAGAGATGAGCTCAATTAGTCCTCACGACAGCGCTGGGAACCAGGCACTACTGAGTAGTGGGCTTATTATCTTTCAGTGAGGTGACTGAAACCCAGAGGGCATCTTGCCCAAAGTCACACATTTGGGAAGTGGTGAAGCCGAGACTTGAACCCAGGACTGCTGGAGATGCACAAAGCCGTTACTTTGCCACAGTGCGACGCAGCCTCTGCTGAGCACATCACCCGGGAACTACTGTGCCCTGACTATGTGCCAGTCCCTGGGCTGGGTCCTGCAGGAGACGGCACAAGTGACACTGCCACGGCCTGGAGCCCGGCAAGCCAGGCGGGAAGGGAGCAAGGGAGCCGCATGGCACAGAGCCGGATGGAGACAGGAGAGCGCAGTCAGGGAGGGCTTCGGGAAAACCTCAGCGCATCACCACTCCCCAAGAACAGGGAGGGCTCACAGAGGTGGATAAGGCTTAAGGCTGGCCCAGGAGGGTGGGTGCGATCTCAGCCTGCAGAGACGAGTAGAGATGCGTCTCATCCGAGCCAACAGCCACCTCCTGGATCCACGGGAATTAGCCGGGGCCAGGCCTACCACCCTGTCTAGGAAGGGGACTAAAAGGCCGTGGGATGAGTCTTTAACACGCTTCCCTGGATGGTGCGGGTCACGGCTGCCAGTTCTCCGGTTCCCCCCCGCCTTTCCCTCGCTTGACAGCAGTGGATCAGTTGTCTGTTGCAGACTCCCTGACCCATCCCTAACCCCTTTCTGACCTCGGGGCCACCGGACGGGCCTTTTCGCGTTTCCGGCCCAACCCCAGAGTCAGGGCAGGGGGCGGTGGGGGGGGGGGCACCTCGAGGAGTCGGTGCCAAGAGGAGAGAAAAGACCAGACCACCTTCGGCTCCCCTCCCCTCCCCCCGCCGGATCGCAAGGCTCGCAGCCGCCGTGGCAATGAGGCCACTCACCTGCGCGGGCCACACGTCACACGCAGCCTGTGGTGGATTTGGCCTTCAGTGGCATCACGCCTTACGGCTTTTGCCTAATCGGTGCTTGCAAAGATGATAAACCTATGCTACGCCAGGGAGATACAGGAGACTGGACTGGAACACTTTGGGGTCATGAGGGTGCTGTTTGGGACGCAACATTAAATAAGGACGCCACCACAGCAGCTACAGCAGCTGCAGATTTCACAGCCAAAGTGTGGGATGCTGTCTCAGGAGATGAATGGATGACCCTGGCTCATAAACACATTGTCAAGACTGGATTTTACACAGGATACTAATTACTTGTTAACCGGGGGACAGGATAAACTGTTATGCATATATGACTTGAACAAACCTGAGGCAGAACCTAAGGAAATCAGTGGTCATACCTCTGGTATTAAAAAGGCTCTATGGTGCAGCGAGGATAAACAGATCCTTTCAGCTGATGACAAAACTGTTCGCCTTTGGGATCATGCTACTATGACAGAAGTGAAATCTCTAAATTTTAATATGTCTGTTTGCAGTATGGAATACATTCCTGAGGGAGAGATCTTGGTAATAACTTATGGGCGATCTACTGCTTTTCACAGTGCAGTAAGTTTGGACCCAATTAAGTCTTTTGAAGCTCCTGCAACCATCAATTCTGCATCTCTTCATCCTGAGAAAGAATTTCTTGTTGCAGGGGGTGAAGATTTTAAACTTTGTAAGTATGATTATAATAGTGGAGAAGAATTAGAATCCTACAATGGACACTTGGGTCCCATTCACTGTGTGAGGTTTAGTCCTGATGGACAACTCGATGCTAGTGGTTCTGAAGACGGAACACCGAGACTATGGCAGACTGTGGTAGGAAAAACATACGGCCTTTGGAAATACGTGCTTCCTGAAGAAGACAGCGGTGAGCTGGCAGAGCCGAGGAGCAGTTTTCCAGAGACAGCGGAAGAGGAGCTAGAAGAAATTGCTTCAGAGAATTCTGATGCCATCGATAGTGCAACTCCTGAAGTTAAGGCCTGAGCATCAGGCAGAGGTACACAACTTATGGACTAAAACCAACAGAGAAAAGCATCAGCCTCCAGAGTTACTCTCTGCTTAAGGTAAACATGAGCAGTAAACAATGAGGAATATGAATTAGCGCCAGTGCTGGAACTAACCAACTTGTAGCACGATGGTCTGTTGTCTTTTTAATGAATATGTGCAAACCAACACCCAATTTCTCTTATTACAGTTGGATTTCTTGTAGCTGTTTATGTTATTAGGAGAGGGAAAATATACTGACATATTTTTCTGACTTTTCCCTTAAAGCAGAAAGCCATTTTTTTTTTTTTGCTTTAGTTATAAAGAAGAGGGGGAATACATGATAAAGTAACTGGTTTGATCTCTCATTGTACACTGCTTCCGAACATCTAATTGTTTTTAGTTGTAAAATGCCTAAAAATAAAGCTTCCCTGGGCTGGATGAAGTACTCCTAGTTCTTTCAAGGCTACTCTTATGGCTCCTACAGCCCTCTCTATTGGCTCTTCTTTCAGAGGGCATGGGGCGTGATGGAAAGATTGCGGCGTCGGGGGCCAGACAACTCCACACCCCGATACCTCCTACCCCCTCAGAAGTGATACGGGTGCCCAGTGCAGGGCGGCCTGCACCAGCAGAGCAGAAAGAGTCACTGCTAACGGTGAACACGTGAACCTGCACGAGGGATTCTAGACACTGGTGGTCCGCTTCCCTACAGGAGGGCCAGCTGACAGTGAAGATGGGCAGGAGAAGGACCGCTGATCAATAAGGAGTGATACGGTGGGGGCAGCCTGGCAAATAAATGCTGCCTGATCCAGCTGAAGGGCAGTGCCACCAGTGACGTCATGTGGATGCCAGGTACCCCTGACAGGATGTGCTGAGAAGGGCACTCCACCCACGATCCAGTCTAATCGCGAGCAAACATCAGACAAACCCAGAGTGCGGGACGTTCTACCGGACATTTGGACAGTGCTCTTCAAGACTGCCAAGGCCACGAAGAACAAGAAAGACTGAGGGCGGGAGGAATTGGGAGACGGGGATTCACACATATCCACTATTGATCCTATGTATAAAATAGACAACCGATGGGAACATACTGTATAGCACAGGGAACTCTACTTAATGCACTGTGGTGACCTAAATGGGAAGGAAATCCAAAAGGGAGGGGATATACGTATATGTATGCCTGATTCATCTTGCTATACAGTAGGAGCTAACACAGCACTGTAAAGCAACTATACTCCAATAAAAATTAACTTAAAAAATAAAATTTTAAAAAGAAAAAAAGAAAGACTGGGGACTTCCCTGGTGGCGCAGTGGTTAAGAATCTGCCTGCCAATGTAGGGGACACAGGTTCAATCACTGGTCCGGGAAGATCCCACATGCCGCGGAGCAACTAAGCCCGTGCGCCACAACTACTGAGCCTGCGCTCTAGAGCCTGCGAGCCACAACTACTGGAGCCTGCGCTCCACAACAAGAGAAGCCACTGCAACGAGAAGCCCGCGCACCGCAAAGAAGAGTAGTCCCCGCTCGCCGCAACTAGAGAAAGCCCGCACGCAGCAACGAAGACCCAACACAGACAAGAATTAAAAAATTAAAAAAAAAAAAAAAGACCGAGGAACTGTCCCCAACCAGAGCCTGGGGAGACGTGACCACTGAATGCAATGTTGGATCTTGGATTGGATCCTGGAGCAATAAAAGGACATTAGTGGAACAAAACTTTTTAAATTTTATATTATTTTGAGACTTTGCTTCTTTGGGGCACACTGGTCACCCCATCTGGCTGTGAGAGCTCTCTACAGCCTGTGAGCTGGCAGTGTGTTGATCTTTTCAAGTTTCTTTCCCTACCCAATCCCCCACTTTCTGGTGAGGTTTCAGTGAGGTCTGTGAGGTGCGTATCCTGCAGCTTCATTGGCTTAAAATGTGCTCTCCTTTGGTGTGATTTCTTTGGGGGCCGATTGGGAGAAAGAAAAACTAACAGTGTAACTGTTTTGATACTGGAAATTGATGTGTCCTTTTGAAATAAAGAACCAGTCCCTCAAAAAATCAAAAAACTAAAAACAGGACGCTAGTGGAAAACAGGTGAAATCCAAAATAAAGTCTGGGGAACACGGGATTGGAGGTATCTGTACCATCTTTACAACTTTTCTGTAACTCTATTCCAAAATAAAAAAGTGTCTCTAATTTAAAGAAAAGAGAGACGCCAAATATCAGAACTAAAACATAAGTTCCGTGAGGTTGGGGGGACAGGAACTGTCTGTCTGGCTCAGTGCTATATCCCCAGCTTCGAGAACAGTGCCTGGCACACAGTAGGCCTTCAAGAAATATGCTCAACGAACAAATGACTCCATCACCCCAGCCTGTTCCTGGCCTGTTGACTGGGGCTCCAGAGACCAGCCAGAGAAAGGACAGGATGGCCAGCCCCACCTGCTCCCCACAGGAAGGGCTGCACCCCTCTCCCCACCTCCCCAGCAGGGGCTCAGCGGTAATCTCCTGCCCACAGATGTACAGTGTCACCTAGATACTGGAAATTGTCACCTAGGCCCAGCCCCCTTCTCAGGCAACCCAGAACCCCCTTCCCCGCCAAGGTTTCCATGGCAATAAATTGTAAACACAACTAAGTAGACAGCAGCTTACATCGGGGGTATCCACGGAGTGCCCCTCCAAAATCGAGGTGATTATGCTCCCCTCTGGGACACGCAAGTGTGGTTAAGAAAACCAGCTCTGGCATCACAGAGTATTCCACTTGCCTGTGGTTTGTGTGACCTTGGCCAAGTCCTTTCCCCTCTGTGTCCAGCATCCTCATCAGGTAAAGGGAATGACACCTGGTTCCTACGTGATGTGAGGATGAACTGAATCCAAGAAAGGCCTTCAGACTGGCCCTTGATAAATGGGCACTGTTGGGGGCACTGTGGTCACAGCACAGCCCTGGGAGGTCACCTGAGACACCCTGAGGGCTGAAGGTTTTAAGGGATCTGGAGAAGGGAGTGCCACTCGAACTGAGCTTTGGCCAGCCCCGGGACTGCTGAGGAGGAAAGACAGGTCCAGAGGCAGAGCTGGCAGTGCCACCCTAGCACCAACCAGAGGAGGGAAGCCATGGCTGCCAGGCCTGGAAGAATCGTGCCCCGAGGATGCCTCTGCCCAAACCTGGGGGTCCCTCGACTCCTCTGCCCCCGGCTCCGAGCCCAGACCCACCAGACCACCTCCCGAGAGTCCAGGGGCACCGCCCCAAGTCCTGTCCACCTGGCGAGTGTGTGCTCGTTCACTGGTACGTGTGACACACAGGCTGCATGCCGCCAGCCACAGGCCATCATCAGCCCTCAGAAGGCTTTGGTTTGGCCCAGCACAACGTTCAACAGCAATAAAACTGGAAGCAGTTACTAATCATTTTCACACAATTTATCAGACTTTCATCATTTCCTAAAAAATTGGGTAATCTGTAGGGCAACAAGCCACAAACAGCTGCCCCTTCCCAATGGAGCGTCACTCTCTGATGGGCCCAGCTGGCACACCCAACTGTCCCCAACCCCATGATACCTGCCCAGGGCCTGGGGACATCTGGGTATGTGACCATTTGACCGTTTTCTCTCCCACCAGAGATTAATGCCTTGGGGTCTGGGGTCACCGTGTGGGTGCCACTTAGAGAGGGGAGCCCAGCTCTGGGCTGAATCGCCCCAGGTGTTCTCACGGGAGCGCATCACTGGTCCTGCAAACCCAAGGGGCCCCGGCTTTACCATGTCCACCCCCCAGATGCCCCTCTGCTCAGGTCTAGCAGAGCTCGGCGAGGAGCATGGGGACAATGCTGCCAAGGAAGGCCACAACGAGTGAAACGGCCCCACATTCCACACGAGCT